TTTAATTCCAACGTAATATTAGTGTCAATATGAATTTGACAAATTATGTTTTTAAAAATCACCCAACAGGAAAATTGGGAACGCATAGAATTTGTAATTTTTCATTATTAAATGTGCTCCCGTATTCAACTTACTCAACCTGCCTGCTGGGAAAGTTTGAGGAAGCAAATCTTTCTTCAAGGAACAACTCGCTATTCCCTGCATATATGTGTTACACATATATATGGCTGTGGCTCAATTATAGGAAAGATGTGGAAGCGAAAGAAATATAAATTTGATAGATTTTCATTCATGTTTTTCAATTTTTATTTTGACGATTCGAAAATATTTCATTTTCAAAACAAAAATAATTTGATGATAATTTGTTTGTTTGTTTACATTTTTCTGTCAAATGTGTTGACACTAGTACAACTTACAACAACAAATGTCCATGTGGTTGTTGTATCGTTTTTTGTACAACAACACTTGTTGTTACCTTCTATTATTATACCATGGAAAAATACTCTCAAATGTTAGGGGTGGGACAAAATTATTGGTTATTCAGAGAGTGATTCGAATTGAACAACGTACAAAAGTCGGTGTTCGCTCAGAAAATTTTTTATGGGGAACTAAGTAATTACTTCATAATTAGGGGTCGAACAACGAATGAGAGAGCGAACGACGCTCGTCTGTACATGGCATAATTTTTGTAATCAAAGCACAGTAGGCCTATTCTGTAACTTTTTAACCATATTCGACATTGTTTATTTTACAACAATTTCATTTGTTTGTTTTGTTGTTTTTACAATAACAAAAGAACAGTAAACAATATCGAATGTTGTTAAAAGTTACAGAATAGACCTACAGGTTAGCTAATTGATTCGGCCCAAGAACAGAGAGTAAGAAGATTGAGGGAGTATTAATGTCCCCCAAAAACTATACTGCCGTAGCGCTACTTTTTTCGATCTATATTACAAAATTGTTTATAATATAACAAAAATTGTTGTGAAATTCGCATGGCATAATTATGCAAGGTAATCTCTTTTGAAAATTTGATATTGGCACATTTTTTAATATGGAATTCATATATCAATTTCAAATAAAATGAAAAATAAATTCCTTAACATTTTATGTATTTCGATTGTCACATTTTCAATAAATTAAACAAAATATATTTTCTGAAGCCGAACATTGCTCTCAAGATTTAATAATGGTTGTTACAACTTATATTTATAAGTTTTAAAGGTAAGGAACTTTAAAATATTAATAAATATATATTTTTGCCACTGAACACATGATATTCGTATATTTCGAAGGAAGATATTTTCATTTAAATTTTTAAGGCTGAATACTGTCAAAGGCAAAATTATGAAAACATTGGAAACATATGACTGCATGAGACTACCTTGTATAATTATGCCATGTGAAATTTGGAAGAAAATTTAGATTTTCTGACAGAAATCTGATTCGAAAAATCTAGGGAAACAGTTTTTATTTCTATAAATATGTCTATTTTATTTTAAAATTTTCCATGGCATAATTCATGGTACAATTATACAAGGTAAATGCAAAACTACAACAAATACAATTCAAAAACAACCACATAGAAAATTGTTATTGTATGTAACGCTAGTGTCAGTTTTATATGTCGAAAAATGTAAACAAAAATAGGAATTGCCAATAAATGTTTTTTATTTTCTAAATTTAATTTTTTTGAATTTTCAGAACAAAATTGAAAAACATAAATGAAAATCTTGCAAATATACAATTATATAGCTTCCATATCTTTCTTCCAATTGAGTCATTGACATCCAAATGAGTCATTGAAAATATAAATTTTTCATTATAAAGGGATTTGCTCAAGGTATATTAATAAGGCAACCGTATCCAGGCAGCTGATGATAACATTATATGTCAAATATAATTTTGATTCGCCGTAGGAAAATACAAAATGCAAATTTCAAACCAAAATTTACTAAAATTGTTTTGAAATTAATTTTATGAAATATTCTGAGCAATGCGGTACATTTGGACTGTCCACTGGTCTTAAATTTTCTATGGAGCTTAACACTGATTGTACAAAAGTTCGCGACAATAACTGATATTTGATTCTCTGGTCTTAAATTTTCTACGGAGCTTAACCCTGATTGTGCAAAAATCCGCGACAATAACTGATATTTGATTCTCTAGCAGCCACAACAAAATTCTAGTATTTTGTATAAGCAAACATTTTATATACATATGTATGTATATACCATATCGGACCAAATACATCCACATATTAGATATGATTAAGTTTTGGTTATTATTCACACAAAATCTAACATATCACGTTTACTGTCCATTATTAAAACATTCATACTTATTAGTGGATCAAATCCGCTTCAAATGTAACATTTAATGGATATATGGATTCGGGTCATAATTGTGGCCCTAAGAGCAACCAAACCTTTCATTACGAAAAACTGTGGGTGCTGCCTTTGACCAGAACCGAACCTAAATGAGAAATATCAGGACGATTGGTCCATAACTGCGGACAGAAGTATAGGGAACTGGGACACATGATTGATTGATTCAGCTGGTAGAGATATGACCAATCCGATACACGAAGGTGTGGGCTAACATTTCGTGGCGTTATAAACACATCTTCAGCGTGGACCACATATTGCATTTGCAAATACGGATTTTAATTTTTATGATGATTTTCATTCATAAAATTATAATTTACCCAAATGAGAAGAATTTCAAAAAGAGAATTAAAAGTAAAAAAATATTTTTTGATACTTCAAAATCCTGTATTCTGATTGGTGGAAAACAAATTGCTTCAAAATTCATATGTATGTCAAAGCGAATTAATTGAAATTCGCTTTGTTTGCCGTTTTGACATATCATATTACCAATTCGCCGATGCGGCTACCTTATATATCTACCTTGGATTTGCTGCTTCACATTTTCCAATTAGGAAATTATAGTAAATTGTAAACCAATGGGCAACGAACTTCTGTTGCGATTTCTTTGATTTGATAATGTATAATAGTTAAAGCGCGATTAATACTCTTTTAAATTAATATAGTTGGATTTCTCGTGCCAATTAATGTTTGGAAACCGGGAAATCGAAAAAAATCTTCTGCAGATTTGGGAATATATACAAACTGAAGTTGCCTTGTTTTTTGGTTCACTATACATTGTAAAGCTTAAATTGTATTATCGTATTTCTTGTTTCAAATATGGTGTGTACAACATTTTCCTGCTGGGTATATAATTGTACTATGAATTGTTCTATGGAAGGTAGTCTCATTAGAGAAATTAATAATGGCAACTCTTCTTATTCTGTACCTTGCATACATCATTTCAAATAAAATGAAAAATAAATTCTGTAGAATTTTATGCATGTCAGTTGGCATATTTTCAACAAATTAACAATTTTTTATTTTCTAACGCTGCGCATTGTTCTCAAGATTTTACTATCCCTTTCGTAAGGATCACGTACATACCATAATCCGCGTTATGATGGAATATGAGAAGGGATAGAAAACCAGGTACAGAAATCTACTTCAACACCCATTTTGTTATTAAGTTGCATTGTTCAATTAAAAATACAATTATATTAGATTTTTTAATTCTATATTCACGCAAAAATCGATGTTAGAATACAAACAATTAAAATAAACACATATTTTACTACGTATAATAGTTAATAATGTCTATTGGATAGAAAAGAAACATTTATTCTAATGGATGAAATTAGGAAGTCTGAGGGCATATTACCATTTAATATGTTAATTACCATCACATTACATTAAAAAGTAGACGTATTATGTTGAACACTAGCATAATACGTCTACTTTTTAATGTAGGCAATCGAATTAATTTTAACCTGCTAGTGTGAGAAGGCAACACAAAATCACTATTCAAATGCAAACCTCTCAGTGCAAAAAGTGGAAATTTTTTTCTGAACTGATTCAATTTTATCGGAATATATTGCATATTGGGGATCCCATACAACAGAGCCATATTCTAATATAGGTCGCACAAGAGATGTAACAAGTTTATTGTAATGTAGGGATCAGAGAATTCCTAAGCCCATCGTTTTATAAATCCTAAGACAGCGTGGGCTTTTTTACCATAGAACCTAATTCTGAATCCATTAAAATGACAAGATCAACAAATGAATCTACAGTTAATAAAACAGTACCATTAATATTGTATTGCCTTGTTAAAGTAGAAGATCTGGAAAAACACATATGCTTACATTTGTTTAGGTTGAAATCCATACAGTTTAATTTGCACCATTGAAAAAGGCTATTTAAATCATTTTGAAGTAAGTCAGCTTGCTTAATAGAATTATGGGTGATAAACAACTTTACATCGTCTGCATACATTGGCAACTTGGAATGGATTATTGCTTTTAACAAATAATTTATAAACAGAAGAAAAGGGGAGTGGTCCTGAAATATAATTTAAATTAAATTATATATTAAAAATTCATGGTTAACCCTGTCAAAAGCTTTAACTGAGTCAGTGTAAATACTATCGGTTTGATTACTCTGAATAAAACCTTTTAAAACGGTTGCATTTTTTATAAGATTGGTTATGTTTGAGAGGCCGCTACGAAAACCATGTTGATATGAACTTAAGATTGGCTGAACTTTATAAGAAATTACATCAGTAATCAATTTTTTGAACAATTTTGGAATTGCACTTAATTTCACCAATTCCTCTATAATTCGAGACATTATTTAAGCTACCAGATTTGTGTAAAGGAATTATATGAGATTTCTTCAAGAAGGTAGAATAATTAAAGGGGTAGCCAATGTATCTGAACAGTACTTTAGAATTATGGTAGGACTACCATCTGGACCTGCACTTTTAATTCATCTTAAATTACTATAGCATTAAAATACACAAATTAATTCAAATCAACTAAGACGTATTGAAGGAGTATTAATACTAACACGACCATTTTTATGTATTAGATAAATTTCGTACATTGTTAATCATTTCAATTTGTATATTTTTAGATATCTGGTACGGCAGCTAAATTAGGACATCCCAATGCTTATCATCACTGCACATTGCTTGTGAGCGCAAACAAGTTACATTTGGGCGAATCGTTAGTAAAAGAGGATGTATGTAAATGAAATTGTATTGTTGTATTGGCATTTGTATAATAGTGTGTTTGTACCTGTTTAGGCAAATTACATTAGCAAGGCGACAGCTTCGGTCCGTTCCCCCATTAAGAATCTCGTAGATGTCAATCGCACGGTTAATGTTCCTCAGCTATTGTCTGCAGTGGGTTATGAATTTTTGCGCACTTCTGCTACTGAACTCGAAGACGGAGGCAGCACACAAACCATGAAACAGCGTGGTTTCCAATTGGTAAATCCAACTGAGAAATGGTTCCCCGGCATCAATGCTTTGCGTGAAGAGTTTAGCTCTTGGGATTGGGTCCTAGGAAAAACTCCAAAATTCAGTGTTGAAAAGGAACTGGCTTTGAAAGCCGATAATGATAAGCAGCTGAAAATGAAATTAATTGTCGAAGTCGACAAGGTATGTACACACAAACAATAGTTTTGATCTTCTTAATGACATTTATATTCCAGGGATTGATGACTGACATTGGAATTGAAATGCCTAGCGGAGAACGTGTTCCTGTTGTGTCCCAGTTGCAAAATAAACCATACAATGAAAAAAATTTGAATGGAATTATTAGTGCCTTGAAATTGGTGTCAACAGATAATGTTAAACAAGCCATAAATGGTTTGTGAATAATATATTTGAATTATTATCCGATTTAATCTATGTTTCACTTCAGTGGTGATACAATTTCTTATTATTCTATACTTTCTTACAAGTAGTTGTTATATCCGTGCAATTAATGTTTTGTTATTATTAACAAATTATATAATCATTATTAAAGTATATTTTTTCAATATAATTATGTTATTTTTTTACTAAATATATGCAATTTTCTTATTAAGCACTAAAATATTGTGTGTGATTTTTAATAGGTTGTGTACTACCAGCCAAAAAGGTAAGAAGATGCAATATAACTCTCGAGATGGTTTGGATAGAATGTCCACACATTTATATTGCTCTCAAATTTAGATGAAGATTCATGAATGAATCTATCGGTATTGAAAAATAATCATTAGCCATCATGAATATCCTATACTACAGGAAAACAATACCTCTTTACAAAGGTAGGGCACAGCTACCAACTGATTACAATTTCTTCTCAAGGTGGCTTATTCCATTAAATCAAGATACATATTTTGTGTATGTGTGTGTATTGTTTGGAATACTATGTCAAATAAATTCAAATTTAATTGAAATGAAATTATGTTTTAATACTTTGTAATGGATGAAACAAATTCCCTACTGGATTTTGGAAAGATATTATAAGTTTTCATTCATTTTTCGCGGTTTTAGTTATCAGCCTTATTCTGGGTATTCGCTAGGGAAATTTCTCGCATGTAAAAAAAATTTCGCTCGCCTTATTCTAAATGAATAGGGAGAAGCAAAGAATGCGAGATGCGGATTCGAATTTTCAAAAATGGTCAGCCTTATTCTGGATGTCAATTCCATGTAAATTTTTCTCGCTCTTCCCCTTCGGCTTATTCTGAACAACATTTTTCGTGAATTTTTTCGCATTCTCGCTTTTGCCTTATTCTGAATGAAGTTCGAAAGCGAAAAAATCCGCTTTGGGGAAAAATTAGGTATTCTGAATCACAGGGAGTATGAGAATGAGATGAAAATTTGTGCGAAATTTTCCGCTAATAAATTTAAAGGGAGTTGACTACAAAAACATAAGTAATAACTATTTTTATGAAAAATATTTACACAATACTTATTCTATGACGATTTAGAATATTATAAATGATAGTAAGCACATTTTTAACTGGAAAACAACCAATAAAATGCCATTGGAAATCCTATTGATAACGATGCATGCTGAACCAAGTATTGCCAAGGAATGTGTGAAGGTTATAAGTCGAGTTTGATGCATTTTGGAGGCGAAATACAGACATTTTGGGTGAGAGTCTGTCTCTCTATCTCTCAAGATAAAAATTTAAAAATTGTGAAAAAAACCAAATTTGTCTGATGAGCCGCTTAACAGTGAAAAACATAAATATAAATTATGAAAGAACAAAAACATATTTTTTTTTTTCAAAATTATCGTGTGCATGATTTGATGGAAGAAATAAAGGAGTAGGAGCAAATCATAACATAACAGACCACTTTAAGAATCTGGGGAAATAAATATCGAAATTAAATAAAAAGGCACACAATTATGTAGTGAAATAATAAACTGAATTAATTAATTCAATCGCAGATTTCTTTCCATTATTTTTCCTATTTAAGTAATTGGCCCGCCTCCCGATTATCGAGTATAATAGCGCCACCACAGATTATGTAGATTTTGTCTACGAGCCTTCAAAATACATTCAATTTTAACACAGCTTTCCTTGGTTAATTGACCAAATCGTTAGGATAATTCCAATGATAATGAAATCCTCAACCGTTTGGATTCCATTGAACGACTCGGATTTTATAGGTTATCCGTATTCGAAAAAAACACGTGTTAGTTAAGCGAACGCTTAACAACCGCCATTTTGTAAAAATCTATTTTTAAGCCCGTGGGCGTATAATGCTTTTTTAAACTTTTTAGATCACGTCCTTCTTGTGAGCCGTCCGAAGACGAACTGATTTCTTTCCATTAGTCGTTGTTGTATTCTCTGTTGTAGTTGTTGCACCAAATTGCATCAAAACAATGAACAGCTGTTTCACATGCCATATTGTAGGCTGCCATATTTTTAAACTTTAATTTATTTTCTTTTAATTACAAAGCTATTATACAGCGGATTATTGATATTTCACATATTTATTGTTATAAAGTTTAAATAACAATAAAAAGTAAACATTTTTAATAAAAAAATCAATAAATAAAATATTGAAAAATATTACACAATTAAATTACAATGGGGCAACTTAAATTACAATATGGCCACACACGTTACAACTTAAATTACAATATGACAACACAAATCTTTTTCAACCACCATTTTCGAGAACTCGAATCCGCATCTCGCATTTTTTGCGTCTCCCTATGCATTCAGAATAAGGCGAGAATGTGAAAGCGAAATTTTTTTTACATGCGAGATATCTCCCAACGAATATTCAGAATAAGGCTGGGTGGTTGAAAAAAGATTCGTGTTTCCATATTGTAATTTAAGTTGTGAAATGTGTTGCCCCATTGAAATTTAATTTTATCATTATGTTATTTATTGATTTTTTTAATGTTATTTAAACTTTATACCAATATAAATGTGAAATATTAAGAATCCGCTGTAAAACTGCTATGTAATTAAAAGAAAATAAATTAAAGTTCGAAAATATGGCAACATACAATATGGCATGTGAAACAGCTGTTGTTGTTGTAACAGCCCTATTGCTTTTACACAATGCACTATAGGTAATTTGCCCTGTTTTTGAGGCAACAATTAATAACAGCAATGTTAAACGATTTTTTGACTTTTTAAATGATTTATATGTACAAGAAAGAGAAAACGCAGATTTCCACAGTAGAAACCGCTTATAACGAATAACGGTTATAAGAAACTACACATATAACGAACAAAGCTAATTCTTTCTCAGATATTTTCTTAAGTTTTCTTAAACACAACAAACGGTTGAAAATTATTAGGGTAGTGTGTTAAAAAAAATTCGACCCCGCGATCAGATTTTTAAAGGAATAATTATTACAATGTTGTATGTTTTTGCAGAATGCATTAATAACAATTAATTCAGTACCCATTTTTTACTCTTTAATGTTATTAATATGTAAAAGTGAGATAAAACCATGCTTACTACAGTCGAACACGATTATAGTAAACCCTGGATATATTGAACAACATTTTTTCATATGTCATTTTTTATTTTTAATCAATGCTGAAAAAAATAAATTTTTGGTGGTTTATATTCTAAGGGAAAACCAAGCCCGCCATTTCCTCTTCTCCATTTTTTAGATTTTTTCTCATAATCTTTCCATCAACAACCTATTTGCGGTTTACGAGTCATGTTATTTATTTTGTAATCAAAATTCGTGTGTATTCGTTTTTTTTTCGCGGAAAAGTTCTATCTTCCTTTGACATTTGGTCCATCTTGACAAATGCATGCAAAATAACCTAATTTCCTTTTTTAATTTGACGCATTTTTCGTCCATATTGCTGTTATTGCCAACTTTACGTGCTTTTATTTCTTTCATGAAACCAAATATCGAAAATTTTATTGTTTTTTATTCTGAAGTTCTCTACAAAAAACGTATATATCTTGAAAAAGCAAAAAATCGCAATTTTAGACCTATTGGAATCGATTTAGAAGGCTTTCATTTATATATTACAGTTGTCAAAAGATAAGACAAATTTAAACATTTTATTAAAAGTCTATCTAAAATGACTTATGTGTAAAAAATAAACACATTTCTTTTATTGTAGTCAACTATGTAAATTTTGAATCGCTGCACAAACCCATTAACAAATATATATTAAATAAACAGCACACACCACCGTCAATACTCTCCATGTTTAATTTTTATGTATATGCTTTGCATTTAGCGGTTTTAAACGTTTTAAAATACGACTTGATATTTAAAATTTTTTATTTCTTTAAATTAATTTTCAAAGTGTAGAGTTTAATTCGCAGTTTATGATTTCACTAAATTATTGTGTGCACATCGCATAATTATGCCATGTTGTGTGCCGTTTTATTTAATTTCAATATTTTATTTTTTTCCAAATTTTTAAAGTTGCAAATTATTTTATGATATGCTCATTCTCCTTTATTTTGTCATTCAAATCATGTTCAGTGGTTCATCAGTCATTTTTAATATATTGGTAGCTAAAATGCAAAAAGGCGTAACTAACAAAAGCATAATTGTGTAGGAGAAGCAAAAACCTGTTTTGAATGAAAACTATAAACATGTCAAATGAAGATTTTTCTAAGTTCACTTTTAATATAATATTATATATAATAGACTACAATTCTTTTAAACAAATTTAGTTACTTAGTTTAATGGCAGTCATAACAATTAAGTAAAATTTGTTAGTTACGCCTTTTTGCATTTATCAAATAAACCCACTTGTTGTTGTTGTTGTAACAGGTTGGCTGTTGACGAAAGTTCTTTCCTGAAAAATGTTGATAGAAGAAAACGGAAGAAGGAAAAGGAAAATATATTAATTAATTAGGAATTCGGATTTGAAGAGGGTAGCCGGAGAAATTGTGCCACCTCTATTGGCTTTAGCCATAAGTCTATGGGCAATAGACTCGTAGGCTCGGACGGATAATTGAATAAATGGTGTGTGTCGTGAGGGCTTTGCTGGCAGGAAGGACACCTGTTTAGGGTTCCGGGGACAATGCTCTCTCGATACGAATTGAGTACATTGCTGTATCCGGACCTTAGTTGTGCCAGAATTGAACGGGTTTGCCTAGGAAGAAGCCTCTGTTGTTGTAGGACTTTATTGCATCTGTTGCCATTTATGGCAGATAGCATGCCAACAGGAACTGTCTAGTCAACAACACATTATGTTGCTTGACTGACAACATCCTGGTCTCCTCATGGAGGTGATCGACGCTCGTCATCTGGACACACCCGGTTGCAATTCGGAGTGCATTATTTTGCGCTAAGGAAAGAGGTCCAGACTGGGGCAGCATAATTCAGGATGGAACGACCTATAGCCTTATAAGTCGTTACCAACGTTTCTTTATCCTTGCCCCAGGAGGTGCCAGCCAAAGCTTTCAGAACTTTATTCCTAGCTTTCACCTTCTGGTTGATGTAATTGGAATGCGAGGAGAAATGAAGGAGGCTATCGAAGACCACCCCAAGGATTTGCGGATTATGGACGGTGGGGATGCGCATACCTTCAACGGAAATGTCAAGTTCTAGATTGACTTCTCGCGTCCAGGAAGTGAAGAGTGGCAAGGT